TTTTTTTCATCATTTTCTTTTTGGGACTAAGGAAAGCCAAAGCATATTCTAGCAAGCGCAAAATCGATATGCCCTCAAGAGAAATAAAGTGCATCTCCAACACAAAATCACACCCACAAAACTCACTTTTTCTTCTGACCAAATATGTTTCTATGGAATTGTAGTGTAAAGCAGATCTTGGCTCAATAAATAGAGAAACAATTAGAGGGATAACTATAAATACTTACAGAGCTTGTACCCAATGGAGGGGTACATCCATGGAGGCGATGACAACAAGATCAGCATTAACCTTAAGCTTCACGAGAGATCTGAGCATGACACGTGTTGCTATGTAGAATTCGTAGTCTCTTGGAGTCCCCATATACATCATGGTAGCATAGGCATTTCTGTGTATCCCTTTGCCTTCACATACAATATTCAAAACCAGAAAAATTAGGCAACTCAAGAGCCTTCTTCTTTCTCCCATTTTTTTCTCAATTTACCAATAGCTGCACAGCTTTTTGGTGCAACCCAATAATGAGAAATCTTCAAGAGTCACCCTCTTTCTTTTTTTCCCTTCTGTGAATGAAAACAAATCCGCCTGAAAATGGTTCAGAAAAAGGGGTTCAAAAAGAGCACCTTTCAGAGAAGACTATGCCTCTTTGCGTGTATGTGTGAAAAAATACTCATTGGTGACATGTAGATATGTATTTATTGATGTATCTATTCATTTTTTTTTTTTTTTTTTGACAATTAGTATGAAATGTTTACCTGTGTGCAGAGAAGCGGGTGGCGGGAGGAGGGAGAGAGGGGCACCTTCAGGCCTAAGGGTTGAGACTATAAATGACCGATTTTTAAATATTATTTGGTGTACAATAAAATAAAATATGGTAAATTTCATCGGTTTCAGCTAAAATTACCCAATTATTTTATTTTGATTGCTTTGTAGGAGTACGGCTGAGCTGTACCTTGTCGTGAAACCCGTGAAATGGTTTGGCTAAATTTAGGGGGGTTCAAAAGTCTCGAATCGAATTGGATCGAATCGAACTCGAATCGAATCGAGTGGTTCTTCATAAGTTAAATACCCGAACGTGTACCCGAATCGAGAATCGATGGGTTTGGATCGGGTTTCGATTCTAGACCAAGAACCGAATAATCGAATAAGACCAGAAACTAAATAAATTTTTTTATTTTTTATATTGAATTAATTAAATTAAATTATTTTTTCCTAAACAAATTAGCTAATTAATTAAATAAATCAGATCATTTCATAATTTTAATTTTAAAGCTCAATACCCCAATCATTTTAAAACCCAAATCATTTTAAAGCCCATTTTAAAGACAAGAAATAGTGGAGTTTGAGATTCATTTGCAGTTTTTGATATGGATAACCGATATTTTAATATTAACATCTACTTTTTGGTATTTGTATGCATTGAATTAATTTTATTGGATAGTTAATTATTTATATGTTTTTTAATTGGGTTACGTTAATTTATAAAAGTTACGAATGAAATGTCATTAGTTATATTTATGTAGTGTTGTTGTAAATGTTAAAAAAATTTAATTATGGTATGGAAACCGAACCCGAACGGTTCCATAATTATATTTGGACCCGACGGTTCTATTTATTAAATACCCGAAAGTTTTGAGTCGGTTCGGTTCTTTTCAAAACCAAACCGACCCACGGACAGCCCTATCTAAATCTAAAATATTGTCCCACTTGCATTGCCTGCCTAATTTCTAGCTGGGTTGATTCCAATTTTGTCGCTCGACTCTTGTAGAATTCCCGATTGGATCGTTGATTTTAATTTTTGTAAATTTTGTCGCAAGTGAATCGATGTGTGTCAATTTTCTTTCAATATTAATCACTCTATTAGCATCCATTAATATCATCTGATTCATAAGTGAATGCTAAAATTTAGTAAGTATATGGTGTAACATGCCGACACCATTTATGCTGAAAACAAAACTGTAGAATAAAATTATGCACACAATATGTAAATATAAAACTTTATTTTACAATTTCGTTTTCTACTTGTGTGGCCGTGTCTAGCATTTAAGACATGTCATCAACTTGCTGTCATTTAATTGATTCACCAAATTGGAATTATAACCCTTTGTAATCACAAATATTTACCTCCTAAAACATTTGATAAATGTCAGCTCCCAAAGGCTTTTCTTTTATTATTATTATTATTATTATTATTATTATTATTAATTTATTTTTCAGTCTTTTTCATTTTTTTTTTAATTTTCTAATATCTAGACTTTTTTCTATTGCCTTTAGGCCCGGTTGAAATCAAAAAAATTTCATGGAATCCATTTTCCAACTTTTGCTTTATTTGATACCATAAATTTTTCATGGAATTGGTTTTCCCAAAATGGCTCCCACGTACGTGCACATTTTCTAGGAAATCATTAAATTAATTTTCCCACCATTTTGGTGGGAAATTCGAATTCCAGGTTTATTTATTTATTTATTGGAAATTGGAACAAATTTTATAACCAATTGTAAAAAAAAAAAAATCACTTTAATGAACAATTTACATGTAAAACAAAGTTAAACGAACACTAAATTTTGATGAAAAAATGGTTTTCTAAGAATTTTTTTTTTATATAATGGAAACAAATTTTATAACCAATTGTGAAAAAAATTGTTACTTTAATAGACAATTTACATGTGAAACAAAGCCAAACGAACACAAAAAGATCCAAAAATTTAAAATTTTTTCGGGTGGAAAATTATATCAATCAAACACACTTCATTAACAATTTCCTGAAAAATAAGTTTTAGACAATTATTTTCTTTAGAATTTATTTTTTTTCCACCCATTTTCCACCATTGCGATGAAACAGACCCTTAATGTTTTCAACTACAAATCATGTCAAAATAAAATACTATATTCTCTTTTTGTCTAATGGTAGGAATTTAGCGATAAATATAACTAGACGTATATATAATATAGGATAAATAATCTCGATATTTAATTTATGTTAAGTGTCGATGAAATTAATAAAAATTAGTTCACGTTAGGTTCCAATATTTAAATGATTCACCACTTAATATGCGTGTCATGTCCAATGGTACTTAATATAAGCTAAGGACGGATACTTAGTTTATATTGAGCACAATTACGTATAACACTAATTAATTGATAAATTCGTTCATAGTAGATTCCAAAAATTAAGTAATTTAACAATAAATTGATGTGTCATGTCACTGGCATATAGCATAAGCTAAGCACCATAGACATAATACACCAATTGATTGATGAATTAGTTCATGGTCGGTCCTAAAAATTAAATAATTAATCAATTAATTGATATGTCAAGTCATCGAAATTTTTGCATAAGCTAAACATCAATGTTTAAGAGATCATTTCTAGGGGTGGGGCATGGGTTGGGTTGGGTCAATTTTTTCCTCAACCCAAATCCAACCCAACATGATCGGTTTGATCAAAATTTAACCCAACCCAACCCCGTATAAAGGTTAAAACCCAACCCAACACAACCCGATCAAGTATCAGTCGAGTTGGGTTGGGTTGATCGATTTGATACGACTTGTCAATAAAAATTAAAGTCATCCAATTTTCGATTATACTAAATTCGAATAGACAAGATTAAATAGTAAGTAGATAAATAAATAAATAAAATTTTCTATTATCTTATTCAATCCTCATTAGCCGAGCCTACAAAAAACAAAGTGCATTTAACATGACATGAAAAACTTATACTACATTTTTTGTGGGAAGAACAATAAGCTCATCCTCTAAAATACACCAAGGTAATTGCAGTTACATTATCTACTCATACTTTTTAGGTTTCTTTTACTTTTCTATGCATTTTATTTCTTTTATTTTTATTTTTATTATTTTTTAAGGTGGTGGGTTGGGTTGGGTTGGTTTTATTCGATTTTCTTGAGTTAACCCATAACCCGACCAGACCCAACCCAACCCGTTTACACAGCCAACCAACTCAACCCGTGTAAAAACAACAAAAAAATCGACCCAACCCGGTCAGGTTGGTTCGGTTTGGGCGGGTTGGGTTGGGTTGGGTGGGTTCGATCGGATTTTGCCTACCCCTAATCATTTCTCTATACCGATGAGATAACACACTAATCAATTGATGAATTAATTCATGATAGATCACAATAATCAAATTATTCATTAATTAATTGAATTGCCATGACGCTGATACTTAACCTACCTTTGCTATAATTATATTTTTGGGAGCTTTCAATATAATATGAACTAATATGTTGATAATCATGTTCAAGGAAAATTTAAAGTGATTTGATTTTGTATTGGATAAACTAGGACATGTTAAAAGTAAGGTTAGATCAAGTACAAAAACATTAGCATGGACATATGAATAATTTTGAGTTTATAACCAGATTGAACAACAACAAATTCCTGTAAGTTTTGGATTTAATATGAATAGAACTTATATTAACAAGTATTTGTATACCAACAAATCCCTGTAATTGAATCCATTGGTCATTGCCAGTATGATATTTGATACAAGTTAGTGAAAAATGTTTTGTATATCTCATTAAGAAAAAAAATTCAAATTGATCTCCTTACAATGTGTAAAGTGAAAGAAGGCTTTACTTACTAATTTTTATTTTAGAAGACCTTTTATCTTTTTTAAATGTATTAACAGACTTCATTAAAAATAGATTTGGAGGGAAAATATATTTTGAAATAGTAATTTTTTGAAAATGTGTGATTAAAAAATGAGAGAAGGTTTTGAATTTTCGTGTAATAATATTTTATTAAATAATGTGTGATTGAAAATAAGAAATAATTTTTTTTTTTTTCAAAAATGGGGCCAAAATAGGGGAATCTCCTTGTCATATAGACCAATCTTTTTTAAATCTGTACTTTAAAAGCTTAAAGTGTGATTAATTAGTACCTTGACCGACTTTTTAGAACAATACTTTAAACTAATCAAATCTACCCTAGCTTGGCCAGATAGTCTATTCCTATTCAAAGTGGGATCTTGTTGCATGTACATTAAGATTTATGTAATGAATTACATAATACCACATGACACTCTACAATTTTCTAATTTAAAATACTATCAACTTTTTCATTCACTCTTTTCCGTCAACATCATATCATGTAATTCATTATATATATATATATATATATATATTTTATGTACAAGTATCAAAATTCTTAAAAGAGCTTATTTTATTCTCATAAATTGAGAAAAAAAAATGAATTTTGAATAGTATTTTGAATAGAATGTTTGATTAAAAAGTTGGAAAAAGTTTTTCGGTATATGTGTGAATATTTTATTGTGTAAATATGTGGTGGAAAATAAGTTTGTAACAAATCATAAAATAAATTAATGAATGTCAAACGGGCTCTAAACTAATCAAGTCATAGTCTCAACCTAATCAAAATCAAACTCCATTTTTCTCTCTTCTTCCAAAGTCTCTTATAAATTCATGACTCATCCCGATTTCACAGGAGTTGGATCAACTACATTGAATGTTTGTTTGATAGTACTTTTAAATACTTAGAAATTATGAGACATACGAAATCAGTGGATAGTAAATTATAAGCCATGTGAAATAGGTGAATAAAATTACGTTTAATTTGCTTAAATTGTAATTTAAGCTTCAGCAAACACGCTCTTAGATTAGAGCCTACGAGTTTTATTTTCACATTCTGAAACTTTTGATTTGTTGGAGACATTTATATGTCGATTTTTACATTAGATTTAGTACGCCAAACATATATGTTTACACAAATCATGAAGAGGGTACATGGTATATATAAAATTATGTTACTCTTGGGCTCTCGTTCTCTTTGTCGATAAAGAGACAATTTGATGTAAAATTTTTGAAAATAAATTTTGTAAAAATTAAGTTATTTTAGAACGTGTGAATAAAAAATATGGAAAATTTATGGATCCATGTATAAAATTATTTAGTTGAAAAGAAAATCGAGAAAAAATGAACTTTAAATAATATGAATGAAAAGGACCGAGTTTTTCCCTTTTTTTCCCCTGTACTTCCAATTGTCCGATACATCACCTTCGTGGGGATTTTAAAAAAGACACATTCTTTGTTTCTCTTTGGAATCCAATAGGTCTGTGCATCAACGAAGTTGCCCATATGCAACCCAAACTCACAGGGAATAAGACAAGCATATACCCTTATTAGATAATAATGTTGGTTGCGTTTATAAATATTTGTTTTATTTATTTAAGCGAATGAAAGAATAATACTTGTAATTCTCGACATTTCGTTCATGTTATCCTTAACAAAATAAAAGAGGCAGTTTTGAAATGCACTATTCATGCCAGATGTCGTAAAAATACATCGTCAACCATAACGACGCCGTATTTCCCAATTATATATATTTTCTTCTTGTTTTTCTTTTCATTTCTTACTTGAACATACAACCCTGCGATATTTCCTACTTTGTCGGTTTCAGAAATCTCTGTTTCATTACGAGAATGGAGGTAAGTCGTGCCTCCGTCCGCGTGCACGGAGGCACACTGTCTGTATTTACTGTAGTGGTTACTTATTCGGTTTGTTCTGTTCTGAAATATGATTGATTTTTTGGTGATTTGAAGGTTTTGAGGAGGGATATTCTGTGGGAGACATACATGAGTACTAAGCTGATAACGGGAACAGGGCTTCAGCTGTTGAGGCGTTATGATAAGAAACCTGGGAATTACAAGGCTCAGTTGCTGGATGATTTAAAAAATTTCGCCTGTTGTTTTCCTTACTTATTGGAATATAATTAATGATTTATCACTTCCGTGGAATATTAACTTGATGCATGTTCCTCGATGATTTTAAATGCTGTTGTGATTTTCTTTACATTGTCATTGCAATATTTGTAGAAAGGAAATCACGAGTTGCATGAATAGCAGTAAAGCAAGGCAAGGCTCCATGTATAGTTGTATAAATAGAAGTAAAGCTAGATTTCTCGTGAAGATCACAGGTCAATAAATCTACCACCTTCACGACATTCATGCATTGTCTCTCCCCGTGCTAGCGTGCACAAAGGCACGCTGCTAAGGCAGCAACAGCGTGCCTCCATGAACGCGGACGGAGGCACGCGTGCACGGAGGCACGCTGCACACGGTGTGCCTCCATGCACACGGACGGAGGCACGTCGTGTCTCCGTCCGCGTGCACGTCGTGTTGTCTCTGTCTGCGTGCATGGACTTCGAACTCAAACTTAGACTCGGATACTTGTCAAAGTAAAATTGCCCTACCTGCTCTCATTCACGGCACTAAACTCTCTGCGAGAAACCAACAGCATCATCGCTTTCCAGTCTTTAACTCTAACTACGTTCATCTTCCGTCTTCCACCACTCTCTGCGCCACTCGCCAGCACCAACATCACCACGCCGCCAAGTAAGTTATCTCCATCCAGGTATGGAGACATGCCCATGTCTCTCCATCCACTGGATGGAGAGACATGGGGATGGAGAGACGCCCGCGTCTCTCCATCATGCCTCCGTCCAAGTGGACGGAGGGATATAGGCATTTCTCCCTGCCTCCGTCCAAGTGGATGGAGGCATGGAGAAATGCCTCCATGCACTCATGCCTCCTCCGTGCACTCATGCCTCCTCCTTGTACGGAGGCATAACATTTCTTCTCCATGCCTATGTCCAAGTGGAGGCACGGAGAAATGTCTCCGTGTACTATTCATTTCCGCACCTTCGTTTTCACACTGCTCTTCATTATCTAGTTTCCAAATATCTGAGCTATAAGATGGATTGCTATCTCTCTCTCTCTCTCACTTCATCCTCTTTCGAATCAAATGAACATAAAACCCCTAAAATTTTCTCCAAATCCTGCACGTTCCTGAAGTTTCTAGACGACTTCTTCTTCGATTTGATTTTCTTTTCTTATTCATAAATAAGAAGTTTAATTTGGGAGGATAAAGCTGAGCTCAAATGACGAGAATGCCACTGAGCTTTCTGCCGATTGATATCGGAATCGGAGGACTGCCGTCTAATTGGTGGGATGAAATCAATGAATCGGTCAAATGGCAAGACGGGTCATTCTTCATTCTTTGTGCTGCTTATGGCCTCGTTTCCCTCGTAGCCCTTGTGAGTAACGAAAGTTACCATTGTGCTACTTCTAATTTAAAAGCTTTAGCCCACTGTTTGCATTGAAATGAAATTTATGTACTTTGATCATTGAATAAGTATGCTTAAATGTAATAAAAGTGTTTGCTGCAGTGGTATAATTAGTTGACATAGAAGACTTCCTCTCCCTCTTTATCTCTGTGACTGTGTTTCTGTGTGAGGGCATAGCTCTCATTTCTCTATCCACTTTCTTTGAACAAGCCCTTGTTAGTAATCTCCCTGCTATAAAGGTGCATATTATATGTTACATCAGGGGTCTCTTTGAAGAAGATTTTCAATACCAAGGTATTCATGCATCCCATCCCATGTTATATTAAAATAACTTGCATGAAATTCACTTGGGGAAAAAATAAATGAAAAAGTTAATGTTACACATAATGCCAGATGGAAAGAGTAATAGATATGATGATCTTATTCTGGAATAGATCTTATGTTCATAAATCAATAAGCTCTCTGAGGAACATCAAAATAAACCAACAACTACTTATAGATTCTGAATTTTGTTGCTGTATTTCAGCATGGATTTAAGTACCCCATGCAACCAAAATAAACTCAATTGTTAAAGAACTAATTCTATAGCTTGAGATTTGTAATATTGTACTTAATTACCAGATATAAGTAACCTTCTCCAAAAGGAGTTTCTGCAGCTATTGCCAGAGAAAAATGATGCCTTGATCGAGCATCTTCAGTTTGGTCTGTTCTTTTTACTGTTAATTTTGCTATTGAATCATGCCTTTTTCTTGTACCTCTATCCTCTCTAGGTGGAAGAATTGAGAAGAAACCGAGCAAACTGGACATTCGTTCCAATGTCACTTCTCAGATGGATCTCTTGAGGGACTGAAATGGAAATAATATGCGTTAGTGTACTTTTCACTTTAAGTAGTTGGTCCTTTTGAGTTTGATGGAAACAGATAAGAGTGTGGTATGTGTTTTAAAGATTAATTTTGACAGCACATAGCATTCATGCTTACCATTCTTTGATCAATGAAATCAGGATATAGTGAAACTATATTTTAATGGGCCTAATTAAGTCACTTAATATAAATGAACAGTAAAATGAAACACATCCTTCCTCTGAGTATATGGAAACGGTGCTTACAGACTGTTTTTTGGCACTTCCATACTTGCTCTGCATCTGTCGATGATGGACCAAATAATACGAAGAAGAAAATATATTAGTATAAAGATTTAGGAAGAATTGGCAATAGGAGATAATGACATCCAACACAAGTACCTTGAGTGAAATGTCAATGATATCTAGCATTAGCAACTTTGCTTCAAACTGATATGCCAGAGCTTTTGCAAGCATTTGTTGATAAAGTTCTAGAAAAAGAAAATAAATAAAGATTGACTAATTAAAATTTAATTTCATATAGAGGTTAATTAGGATTTAGGCATTTTTGAAGAAATAGGAATAACCACAGGTAAATTTTGAGTTTGGCTGCAAATGTTATTGATTAGAATTTAGGTATTTTTAAGGAAATAGGAATAACCAAAGGTAAATTTTAAGTTTGGCTGCAAATACTATTGATTAGGATTTAGGAATTTTTGAGGAAATAGGAATAACCACAGGTAAAGTTTGAGTTTGGCTACTATTGAATTACAATTCTAACATTAGAGATCAGAAAAATATTTTTTTTTATTTGTTCATATTCATTAATACCTTTATAAAGGAACTAATAACTGGTCTTTTTCTTGTTTTAATCCCTGGTGTATTACAGCAACTAAGACACTGAACGTAGGTATTTTCGAGTTCATTGTCATGGCTGCCGACACTGAGCGTCTTGAGATCCTCCTTCACCTTCCACTTCTCGCTGAGGATGAGGTAATTCTTTAATGATATATGTTGATTCTGATAGTATGTGTGCAACAGGATTGTTGAAAATCAATGAGTTCTGTTAATAGATAAAAACTTGATGGAATAGCTTGGTCTCCAGCAATAACGAAAACATATTAATGGATCCAGTGGCTTTCTCTATTGCTTACAAGAAAATGAAATCACTTTGTTTGAACATTTAAAATGAAATTTTGACTGACATTGAAATCCATAAACATCTTCTCCCTAGGTAATTTGTTTCATTTGGTAATAGTATTTGTCTCAATCTCTTAAATTATTTTAATTGTTGGTTTGTCAATTCATCCATTCATATCACTTGAATCTTACGTTTGTTCATTGATATTGTGCAAGGTCTGACAGATAGTCATCTCTTTGGATCTTTGTCGTTTTCATTTTGTGCTAGCAGTAGGTGTGAGTACTTATACTTTCAGGTTTAATAATATTTTAGTGAAATTGCATGTTGCATTACAATGTTGTTTTCCTATTGAAGAGATATGTAGAATTTCATAAAATGCATAATTATTATTTTATGTTATTTTTGGTGTGTTTTAGGTCATTTAGCTTTCGATTAGTGTAAATATCGTGTTCGTATCTTTATATCTATGGTTATGAAAGGGAGCGTTATGTAATTATGAAATTGATCCTGTTCTCACACCCTATTTCTCTCTATGTATGGGTGTTTGATTCATAATTGATAGTTGCATGGCATTGCCTATAAAAAACAATTTGATAGCTGCCATTAAAAACTGAATGAACTATTACAAAGAGAATGGAAAATGAACATATTTTCCATACTGAAAACTATTTATGCAATGGCATTTTTTGAAAAAGTTTCTGGTTTTTAATAGAATTTACAATCGTCTAATGATTATTGGAGCTTCCTTTTTTTTTTTTTTTTTTGTAATTTGCCATGTTGAGTAATTTTTTGAGCTAATAGCTAATTTCATGAATTGAGAGTAAGCAAGTGGAATTGGAACCTCTTCTTCTGCAGTTGACAACTATAGGAAAATGGTGTTTGAAGGAGTGTGAAAAAGATATGTGTGTGTGTGTGTGTGTTTAATTTGAATTTGGCTTTGCATCTTGCGGTTTTTCGTTTTAGATTTTCCACTTTTTTCTTTTAATGAGATCGAACAAAAAATACCTAAACTATGTTCATTTCATATATATATGTGTGCATGTGCATGTGCGTGTGAGTATGTGTGTGCGTGTGTGTTTAATTTGAATTTGGCTTTGCAGCTTGTTAATGAAAGCGAGGGATTGAGGATGCAAGGGATTGAGGAGTTGAGCAAGAACTTAGAAACGGTACACTTAGCATAATATTGACAACTAATTAATAAGGTTTGTGTGACATGACAGACGTTCTATTTATATTAATTATCAATTCTTAATGATGATTAGTGTTTCTGTGGCTTTGGTGTAGTTTCATAGACCTTCCCAACTTATCTTCATCCATATATAGTACAAAGCTCCATAGTAGATTGTGGCATTTCTTGTTTCATGCCTTTCAGCTGGACCATCACCTCCTGTTGTAGAACTTATTATAGCAACATCTGATTTTCAAATGGATCTTGCTTTGTGGAATATCAGGTATGGAATTGGTCATAATTCATTTTATTTTCTTGTTGTACTCACCCTTGTTTATATTTTACTTAATGGATTTTTGTTATCCGATCAAAGGCGGAGTTGATACAAAGGAGTTGTTCCATTTATATATAAGTGTTTGGATCCAGGAGAAGCGCCTTGAAATGCTTGAATTTTGCAAGCTTGACACAATTTTTTTTTTTTTGGGTGCCTCCGTGATGAGTCACAAACCCTCAGATCCATCTGTCCCCTAAACTCCTTCACCACTGACCCAATTTTCTCTACTTTCCTTTTTCGAAGATTTGGACCGGCGCTACTTCATTATCCTCAAATCGCGAGGTATGTCGATTCGAGATGTGCTTTAATTTAGGGTTCTTTTTAACCAATTTTACTGCTTTATCCTCTACTGGTTCTGGTTTCTTTCTGCTTATGAAGTTGAGTCTGCGATCTGGGTGTTCACAATTTTTGGGATTTTTCATAGGGAAAGTTTGTTTTCCATAATTTTCAGACCGCTTCTACAATGGAAACCAAATTGGTGATTGCCTCATCGCCGACGGACGCAGGCATCAGCTGCTGGAACCTTCAGACGGGCGCTGAATACTTCGGCTACAAGACGTGCTCCTCCCCTCCCCACGGTCTGGTCTCCGTTGCTGGCCAATTCTTGGCCTCCTCCCAAATACATGAACTATTTATTTGTCGAAATTATTGATTGATATAATAATATATTATATGCATAGTGCGCCTCATATAGTATATAATTAATTAATTATAGTGGCTTGCAACTTTTGTTGTGTTCTTGTATTATAGTCTGGCACTCCACGATTCCTGGGAAGGCCTGTCAAGATTTGTCCAGCAAAGGAGACGGCCAGCTGGAAGAGGAAAATATCAGTGAAAATTCTGTTATATAATTTGAGTTGTTAATTCTGTTATTTTCTGTTAATAATCAGTTAGTGAGTTAGTTAGTTAGATTGATTA